GCCGCAGCCTTTCGCGCCCAGCGGCGAGCTCGTCTCGACGAGCGGGCTGCGGCGGGGTCGGCCTGCGAGGCCACGGGGGCCTCGGGAGCCGCGCGCGGCGGCAGGCTGGCACGCCGGTGCCGAGCGGGCGCGGCTCCTTCGTGATTTGAGGGATGAAAAAACGACCCTACCCTGGGTTACAGGTGCGTGGTCTGTAAACCTCCTGGGAACCCCCAGAGCCTAGAACCGCCAGGACGCCGCACATCACGCAGGGTTTAGTTTCAGCGCACAGCGCCTCGTAAACCAGGGCAGGGGCGTTTTTCCTGCCCTTGAGTGATGTCGATGCCATCCGCGGTGCTGATCGGCCTCTGTCGTTCTCTGCTCGGCCCCCTTTGACACCGCCACCCGCTGCGCCGTTGTACGTGGGGGCCATGATTAAGTCGGGCCTGTGTCCCCCTGCAGGGGGAATGCGGGCGAAAAGTTGGAAATATCCCAAAAATGCCCCCGAAAAGCAAACCAAAAAATCTAACAAAATGGCCCCCAGACTATTGTTTGACCATTTTAGAACATTCCCCCTGTAGAGGGACAGGCCCGACTTAAGGCCATGATCCAGGGCTCTGCGGTGGCCACGGCCGAGACGGCTGCAGCAGCGGGCCCGCCGCCTGCTCCGCCTGCGGCCGCGCCCGCCATGGACAATTGCAAGCAAAGTTGATTCATGTGTGTGGTTGTGTCGGCTGGACGTTTGTGCAAGGAGCATTGATACAGCAGAGGGTGTTGCTTTGCATCTCTCGTTTCATGGCCTCTGCTATGCAGCTCCTGGTCATCGGCTTCGCCATGTGGCACGATGAACTGCGGCGGCAATGGCGTCATCATCGATCTGTTTCGTCTTCTTCGGCTCCTGGCCCGTCTCGGCGCTCGGGGAATTCTGAGAGAGAAGGGATGTAGCAGTTGATATCGCTTCGCGATCGTTCCGACTCCGATTCCAATTCCTCCTCCTCCTCCTCCTCCTCCTCCTCCTCCTCCCCCTCCCCTCCCCCTCCACCCCTCCCCTCCTCCTCCTCCTCCTCCCTCCTCCTCCTCCTCCTCCTCCTCCTCCTCCTCCTCCTCACTCCTCCTCCTCCTCCTCCTCCTACTCCTCCTCCTCCTCCTACTTCCTCCTCCTCCTCCTCCTCCTCCTCTCTCCTCCTCCTCCTCCTCCTCCTCCTCCTCCTCCTCCTCCTCCTCCCTTCCCCTCCTCCTCCCCTTCCTCCTCTCCTCCTCCTCCTCCTCCTCCTCCTCCGCCTCCTCCTCCTCCTCCTCCCCTCCTCCTCCTCCCTACCTCCTCCCTCCTCCTCCTCCTCCCCTCCTCCACCTCCTCCTCCTCCTCCCTCCTCCTCCTCCTCTCCTCCTCCCCTCCTCCTCCTCCTCCTCCTCCTCTCCTCCTCCTCCTCCTCCTCCTCCCTCCTCCTCCTCCGCCTCTCCTCCCCTCCTCCTCCTCCTCCTCCTCCTCCTCCTCCTCCTCCTCCCTCCTCCTCCTCCTCCTCCTCCTCCCCCCCCAATCCTCGACAGCGAGGCCCTGTCTGGAGCCCGCCGGGCGTGCCCGGATTGGATCCACGAGCGCACGCCGCAGCGCGTGGCCGGAGGAGAGGAGGCAGAGCAGCGGCTCGCGGGCGCCGTGAGCGGGCGGGGACGGGGGAGAGAAAGGGGCCAAGGGGGGGAGGAGGAGGAGGAGGAGGAGGAGGAGGAGGAGGAGGAGGAGGAGGAGGAGGAGGAGGAGGAGGAGGAGGCGTAGGAGGAGGGGGAGGGGAGGAGGAGGGAGGAGGAGGAGGGGGAGGAGGAGGGAGGGAGGAGGAGAGGAGGAGGAGGAGGAGGAGGAGGAGGAGGAGGAGGAGGAGGGGGGGGGGGAGGGGGAGGGGGACACGCAGAAATCGGCACCATCCCAGGATGCCGCACGCAGGAGCAAGGAAAGGCGACAGCAGCACCAACAGGGCGAGGAGGTGCGCGGAGGCAAGGGGGGGTCTCCCTGGTGGTGTGGTCCCCCCCTCTCGCTCGAGACATCCCCAGTCTCCCGCTCGGGGAGGCATTGTGGACCTCCTCGCTGGAGGTGGGCCCCCTGGTGGTATTGGTATCGCTTCTCCTCCCTCCGAGCACGTTTCCTGGCACCGTCTGGATGCTCTTCTTCCCGCCATTTCCCGTGCTCTCCCTTACGCTCACGGCCAGCAGCGCCTACAGACAAGCGCGTTACGCTGCTCGCAGAGTGGCGACTCGCAAATGGCATGGATCGGCTTCAGGGAGTTTACGATCCATTACACAAAGGCAGGCATCTGGTTTTTCGACCGTTTGCGAGTAGGCACTTTGCGAGTAGAGGAACGCGCTCGGCGAGCCTGTGTGTGTGCGTCAGTGTTGTGGATGCCACGACGATGGACACTCTAACAATCCTAGCATTGAACTACACATGTTTTTAAGACTGAAAAACATGCTATCAAGACGTTTCAAACATGCTTTTAATGTTTAAAACATGTTTGAAACATAGTTTAGACATCTGGAAATGATTTGACAACATGTTTCCTCTCCATTGATCGACTTCCACAACGTTAGTGCCCACACCCCCTCCAGAGAATAGAGAGAGAGAGAGAGGAAGCAAACGCAGCGGGCTTCGACATGGTCCCCGCTCGAGCCGCCGGAACCTGAAAGCCCAAGCTGCACGGAAGGCGGCCTGGCGCCTCTCTCGGCCACAGCGCTCGATCGGGAAGGAGGCGGACTCTGGAAGGAAAAATGAAATGTAAAAATCAAAAATAAATCAAAAATGAATAATCGAAAATCAAACATGAAAAAATCGGGAAACAAACACATGTATACATACAACAACAACAACAACAACAACAACAACAACAACAACAACAACAACAACAACAACAACAACAACAACAACAATTACTAGCACGTGGGGACACTCCGTTCTCACCAGTGCCAGGGTTTTCATAGGAGGCGGGCAATACCCCCACTTTGTGGGGGGGCCGGTTCAAGCTCTACCAAATTTCCAAACGACTCTTCGCCACCACCCACACCCAGCTTCCCGCCCTATGACGTTCGGACACTTCACTTCGTGGCATGCGGACGACCGTGGCTACTATTCAGGGCCCCGCGGCCGACGACGACGGCGTGCGCGCGCGAAGAAAAAACGAATGTGTCCCGCATGGTATTATTTGACAGGGATGATGGCCCTGGCAGGTGCGCAACCGTTGTTGCAGAAGTTCGAAAAAGTTGCTCGCAAAAGCCCGTTTGACAGAAATGTTTAAAAAGTGTTGGGTTTCCTACGAATCCGCAAGAGCGCGCGGGATGAAATTTTGACAATTTTTTGTTGAAAAACCATTGGTTTTTTGATGTTTTTATGTTAAAATCGCTACGAAAACTAAGGTTTTGGAAGGATTTCGTCTTGCGCGCGCGAATGTCCACTTTACCTTATTTTTTGCAAGGGATTCTTGAAGTTTGGTTATGTTAGAACAAGAAATGTCCACTTTAGCTTGTTTTTTGCAAGGGAAAGCGGATTAACAAAACAACCGGATCTGGATCACATCGTTTTGCCTGAGGCTTCCTCACGAAAATGATGAAAATGTGGCTGCGGCCTAGGCGCGGCGGGGGGGCGTGCACCAGGGGTCCCAACAATAATTATTCTTTAGAAGAAATAATGTTCAACAAACAACAACAACAACAACAACAACAACAACAACAACAACAACAACAATCATTTTACCCGAACGCTCAGTGTTCTCACCAGTGCCAGGGTTTTCATGCGACGCGAGACAATACCCCCACTTCGTGGGGGGGCAGTTCAAGCTCTACCAAATATCCAAACGACTCTTCGCGACCACCCAAACCCAGCTTCCCGCCCTATGACGTTGGGACACTTCACTTCGTGGCGTGCGGACGACCGTGGCTACTACACTGGCGTGGGGTACACACCCACAGAACTTGGTCACTTATTCGGGGCGCGCGTGTGCCCAGCATCCTGCAATTGTGACATACAATACATGACACAGACAGACAGAGAGAGAGACAGAGAGCAGACAGAGAGAGAGACAGAGAGAGCGGAGTTGGTCACATTTTTGGGGCAAGTTCCTGAGATCGTCGTGTTTTTTGTTGGTCTTGCGCGCGCGAATGTCCACTTTACTTTTTTTTTGCAAGGGAATATTGATTATGTTAGAACAAGAAAAAGTAGCTCGCGCGAGCTCATGTAACATAAATGTTGAAAAACCATTGGTTTTGTGGGAGTCGGACAGCGCGCGCGGGATGAAATTTGGACATTTTTTTTTGAAAAACCATTGGGTTTTTGATGTTTTTATGTTGAAATCGTTACGAAACCTAAGGTTCTGGAAGGATTTCGTCTTGCGCGCGCGAATGTCCACTTTACCTTATTTTTTGCAAGGGATTATTGAAATTTGATTATGTTAGAACAAGAAAAAGTAGCTCGCGCGAGCTCATGTAACATAAATGTTGAAAAACCATTGGTTTTGTGGGATTCGGACAGCGCGCGCGGAAGGACATTTTGACAATTTTTTCTTAAAAAACCATTGGGTTTTTGATGTTTTTATGTTAAAATCGTTACGAAACCTAAGGTTTTGGAAGGATTTCGTCTTGCGCGCACGAATGTCCACTTTACCTTATTTTTTGCAAGGGATTCTTGCAATTTGATCAAGTAAGAACAAGAATTTTCATTTTATAGTGTTTTTTGCAAGGGAAAACGGACTACAACAAAACAACCGGATCCGGTACTAATCCACTTTTCTGAAGCTTTCGCGAAAAAATGATGAAAATGTAGCTGCGGCCTAGGTTTTGGAGGGGGGTCGCGCACCAGGGGTCCCAACAATAATTATTCTTAAGAAGAAATAATGTTCAACAGCAGCAGCAGCAGCAGCAGCAGCAGCAGCAGCAACAACATCAACAACAACAACAACAACAAGGCCAAACCTGGTCGAAGAATCACCCCCAGACTATGTTCGGCCGTGCTCGAACCTGCCTCCTGCCGCGGGACACGCCCGACTTCACCACGGCGCCGCCTCCGCCCCCGCGGCCCCGGGCGCGGGCGCCTCCCGGGACGCCGCTCGGCCTCTTCCTCGCGGGCGCCTGCGCGCGGGCCCCGCGGAGCCCCGCGGGCTTCCCGGGCCCCCGCGGGGCTTCGCGGGCCTGGGCCGACGGCCTGGCGGGCGCGGGCCGCTCGCAGGGGAACGACGAGTATCGCATCAGCATTCAAACCTCGGAGGTCCGCGCGGACTCCTCGGAGGCGCGCAGGGCCCCCTGCCTGGCGCGCCAGGGGCGGCGCCAGGGGCGGCGCCGGAGGCGCCGCCAGGGGGACCCAGCGCGGATCCGAGAAGGCCCGCGCGGACCTCCGAGCTCTGGATGCGTTTTGTGTCATGCTGCGTTCCCCTGGCTCGGTCACCAGCACCGACCGCAGTTCGCCGGTGCGGAAGATCTGTGCACTGGCTGGCGGCTGGAAGCCGCCCTGCCCGTCGTCCAGGTCCAGGGCCCCGTGGAAGACGGCCAACAAGAGCAGCGAGTGCGTGGCCAACGCCACGTCCCTCTCCCTACGGTCCATGATCCAGCACATCAGATGCCAAGCCCGCGACGCATGCGACGCCTCGTTGTCACCCGCCTCGAGGACATCCCCACAATGCGACTCGTGGCCCCACCAGATCGGGTCTGCCTGCAGGCCTGGCCCCGCTGGGCCCCGCACCGTGCGGAAGTCCACGCCCGGGAACTCCGCCGCGAGCTCATCGGAGCCGCGGTGCGCGTCGTAAATGCTGGGGTCGAGCCCCCTGTAGTTCTCCCTCGCCAGTTCGTGCGCTATCACTCGAGGGTGAAAAAGCGGCACAGACAGGAGCTTTCGGAGGCCCGCGCGGAGATGCGCTGATCTCCGAGATCGGCGCTGGGCGCCCCTCCACGGCGCGCGGAGCGCGCCGGGGGGCGGCGCCGCCGGCGGCGCCAGGGGGGCCCAGCGCACATCCAAGAATCTCCGCGCAGGCCTCCGAAAGGTTTTGCTCGTGCCGGTTTGTCCTCCTCGACATGACAGGCACCCCATTCTCGACCGCCCGCGCGAACGCGATGAGCCCTGTCTTGCACGCGCGGCGCAGCGGGCTCGTCACGAGCAGCTCGGGGTCCTGCCCCAGCTCCGCGCCCGCCCTGGCCCCCTCGGCCTCCAGCTCCCCCTTCGCGGTGAGCGGCGGGTCGTACAGTCGGCTGCACGCCAGGGTGACCCCAGGGAGGAGTGGCCTGTGGTGCGCCGCTTCGGGGGCCCTGCAGGGAGCCAATCCCAGCGCGCAAGCCAGTGCTTGGGGGTCCCCCGTGATGAAGGAGGCCACACACACACACAAAACACACAAAAATAAGCTGACACTAGTATGTTTCCATCTTTTCTGGAGTTTCGTTTCCCCCTCCACTTCCCATCTGTTCCCCTTTCGTCCCAGGAACCGGCGCTTGCTTGTGTCTGCGTGTCCCTGCTCCCCGCCCGACTCGAGCACGCACCCAACGGTCACTCCGGCGAAGGGCCACTCTTGCGCGGAGCCGAGTACAGGTCGGCGGGCACCTGGCCGAAGTTCCCCCTCTTGGCGTGCGGCTGCCGCCCGGCGGCGAGCTCCCGTGCGCGGAAAACGTTGTGGACGCCCTCGCCGTGGCGCAGGCAGCGCAGCCGCTTCGTGCCAGGCGGCGGGGGCGACGAGAGGCCCGCGGCGGGCTCCGGCCGAACGGAGAAGCGCCGGGGGCGCAGCCCGTGCATCTCCTCCGCCAGCTTGGCGCCCTCGTACGAATGCGCCCACCGCGCGACGAGCGCGCGGTCCGCGGCAGGCAGCCAGCTGAGCCCGTCGCCGTCGGCTGCCATCCGCGCGGCCCGCAGGCCCGCGGGCCCAAGGAGTGCCCGGCGCCGAGGCGGAGAGCGCACCTGAACCAAGGCGGCCACGCAGCAAAGGGGTCGAGAGCTCCTGGGGCCCCGTCTTCACAGAATACGACGTCGAAAGTCGGGTGATTGAGAATCGAAGATCAAGCTTTTGGAGCATCGAGGATCGCGGTTGCTCTGTACCTGGAGGTCCTCACTGGCCCTCCTGAGGAGACCCTCGTGGCCGCGGCGGGGTCCGCCTCGAGACTCTGGCCAGAACGCGCTCGAGGACAGGTCCAGGGGCCGACTTGAGGGGATGGGAGGGGGAGGGGGACAAGGAAAGACCCAGATTTCGTCGTCGCTTTATTTGCCTTCCTCGCCGAAGCCAAGAAAGCAGAGGACATCGACGGCAACGGCGGCGACGACGACGGCAACGTCTTCGTCGTCGGTGGCGTCGTCCTCGTCGGCGTGTTTGGCATTCTTGTCTACTTTGTCGCCCTCGGAGTTACCCCGCATTACACGGGGGAGGGGGCATCATCACCATCATCGCCATCACCGTCGTATGCGTATATACATGTGTTTATGTGATCATGTGCATGCATATATACATACACATATATACATAAATAGACATACATGTATATATGTATATATATATATATATATATTCATACGTATACAAATACATGTACGTATTCATGCACATTTATTTACTATCTAGACATAGATACATACAGACATACATACGTACCTGCATACACATATATATATATATATATATATATGTATGTATGTACGTAATCATATGCGTAGGCATATGCATATCCAATAACATGTGTATATAAATAGACATGTGCACATGCACACCTATACATGTACGTATATACATACATATACACATACAAATGCATGTGCCTATGCAAACACAGTTACCTATATGTACATACATGTACATAGACGTAGGCATATACATATACACATACACATACACATACATATACAAATACTGACGCATATGCAAATATGAACACACACATATACCTGTACACACACATATACATGTACATAAATGAACATATCCAACTACAAGGACACAATCATGTACATATATCCGTACCTACACATATGCATAGACGTGTTCATATACATATGCCAATAAACATGCACATACACCTACGTATACATATACGTACGCATATACATATATAAACATGAACATATACATATACGTATACAAATCCATATGCTCATACATACGCATACGCATACACATACACATACACATGTCCAAATGCATATACGTTTACACATGCATAAACATATACATTATATATAAAATATGCATATACCTATGCAACTATACATACACCTACGTATACATATGCACAGACACATACACAATCGCATACATACACATATATATATATATATATATATATATATCGAGATATATACACACCTGAATCTACATGTACACAATCATAAGCATAGACATATGTGTATACATGTACATGATACGGGAGAAAACTCCAATCAGGGCTATAGGGCTAGGGGGCTATAGGGCTAAAGGGTTATTGAGCTATAGGGCTATAGAGCTAAAGGGCTATAGAGTTGCAGGGCTATAGGGCTATTGGGCTATAGGGCTTAGGGCTATAGGCGCCCTGGCACCCGGGCAGCCGGGCACCCCCGGGCAACCCCCGGGTACCCGGGCCTCGGGCACCCGGGCACCCGGGCACCCGGGCGTGCAGCGAAAATCGGCGACAAACCTAATCTAACCATATGAATCCGCTAGAACCCCCACAGAGGCAAGCTCTGATTGGGGAATATGAAACATAAACATATACATGCACATAATCATATAATATGCACAAGCGGACGTGGATATATATATATATAATGTATGTATATAGATGTGTGTGTGCACGCGACTATAATCACATTACTTATACATATATATATACATACATATGCACAAGCATGTATGCATCTACATATACATATACATATACATATACGTATACATACATATATATAGAAATATATATATATAGAGAGACATATATACATATATATATATATACATGTATATGTATATCAACAATGATAATAATACCACAAATACAAATACATGGAATCCCAAACAGCGCTTGCACGTAGGGGGTCCTACTTCTGGTCTGAGGAACTGGGTCTGTCAGCCTCTATGGCGGGCCGCTTCGTCGCCGCCCGTCGTCTGGGCCTGCCTGCCACTCTGGCGGCTATGTTGCCGCCGTCGCCGCCCTGTCGCCGCCTCGTCGCCGCCCGTCGTTTGGGCCTGTCTGCCCAAACGTTTCCGCCTCGTCGCCGCCTCGTCGCCGCCCGTCGTTTCGGCTACGTTGCCGCCCGCCATCGCAAACCATCGTCTGGGCCTGACCGCCGGTCCGGCGGCTATGATGCCGCCGTCGCCGCCCCGTTGCCGCATGGATTGCGCACTACACAGATTCTCCTTTCTGAAAAAATATGAGGACCTACCTCCCCCCCCCCGAAGTATCGGTTCCCCCGGGGGTGTGCGATTTACACATGATTTTGCCCCATCGTCAATCCTTCCGTCCCTTCCTCCTCCACCCCCTCTCCGTCATTTCCCCATCGTTCTCCATCCCTCACCCTCTCCCTCCCCTCCTTCCTTCTCCCCATCATCCCCATCCCCTATCCTCCCCTCCCCCCTCCCTCTCCCTCTCCCTCCGTCAATCCCTCCCTCCCTCCCTCTCCCGACCCCCATCCCGACCCCTCGCTCTCCCCCTCCCCTCCACGCCGCCATCGACATCGGCATCTCTTCGTCATTTGAGGAGCCCCCCCCTCCCTGAGTTTAGTGTGTGGACGTTTATCCCTTGGGGACGTCTATCCTTTGTTTCCGATAGTGTAGCACTGTCGTGTACCGTAGCAGACACAGAGTGTCATTTGCGTACCATTGTTCGCACGTTGGCTCAAGTCCAAAATACCATCGTCTGCCGCTGCTGCTGCCACATCTTCCTCATCTGAGGAGCCCCCCCACCCTCCCTCCCCGCAAAGGGTCACTCTTATGTATTGTCGACCCTCCCCCTCCCCAGGGAGGGGACGGCATGCGGGGCTGGGCGGGGTCTCGGGGCCCGCCTTCGCCCGACGTCGTTCGCGAGCTCCTGCGGTCGTCGTCGCGGTCGTCGAGATCGTCGTCGTCGTCGTCCTCATTGTCCTCGTCGGCGTCGGAATCGTAGTCCTCCTCCTCCTCCTCCTCCTCCTCCTCCTCCTCCTCCCTCCTCCTCCTCCAACTCCTCCTCCTCCTCCTCCTCCTCCTCTTCCTCCTCCTCCTCCTCCTTCTCATCTTCCTCGTCCTCCGCCTTTTCAATCTCTTCGTCGTCGTCCTCGCAGTCGTCGTTGTCTTTCTCGCCCTCTTCCTCGTCATCCTCCTGCTCCTCCTCGTCCCCATTGTCGTAGTAAGTAGTCCTCACCGATGTCCCCGAGGAAGGAGGAGGGGGGCCTGGGACACACAAATAAATATACACAAATGATCCCAGTGCGACCCTACCTAGGAGTTGGAGCATTTAGGAAAGCAACATCTACATCTACACCGACAGCTACATGTACATCTACACCTGCATCTACATCTACATAAACATCAACAGCGAGACTCACATCTACATCTACATCTACACCTACATCTACATCCACATCTACATCTACACCTACATACACATCTACACCTACACCTACATATACATCTACATCTACACTTTCGCCTTGGTTTTGCTGTTGCTTTGCATTGCCTTTGCTGTTGCTATTGCCTTTGGTTTTGCCTTTGCCTTTGCCTGTGCTGTTGCGTTTGCTGTTGCGTTTGCTTTGCTGTTGTTGTTTTGCTTTTGCTTGATTTGTTTTGCTTTGCCTGCGCACAGACACACACACACGCATGTTTTCGCATTCGCTCACAGGGTGTGCTTGAGAATGCTCCGTATCCGGTCTACACCGCACGACTTGGCATTGAGCAAGGTTGTGCAACACTTGCTACACCGCACGACTATGCTATACTATGCTATGCTATGCTATGCTATGCTGCGCTATGCTATGTTGTGCGGTGCTATGCTGCGCTATGATATGTTATGCTAGGCTATGCTATGATATGCTGTGTTGCGCTATGCGCTATGCTATGCTATGCTATGCTATGCTCGGACATGCTGCGCTATGTTATGTTATGCGTTGCTATGCTATGCTGTACTATGCTATGGTATGCTGCGCTGTGCTATGATAAGCAATGCTATGATATGATATGCTATGATATGCTGAGCTGTGCTGTGCTATGCTATGATATGCTGTGATATGCTATGATATGATGGTTATGATATAATGTGATATGCTGTGTTAATGCTGCGCTGCGCTATGCTGCGCTGCGCTAAGCTAAGGTAAGGTAAGCTAAGCTATGTTAAGCTAAGCTAAGCTAAGCTAGGCTAAGCTAAGCTAAGCTAAGCTAAGCTAGGCTAAGCCAAGCTAACCTAAGCTAAGCTAAGCTAAGCTAAGCTAAGATGGGATAAGTTAAGCTAGTCTAAGCTAAGCTAAGCTAGGCAAGGCACAGCTAAGCTAAGCTAAGCTAAGCTAAGTTAAGATGAGATAAGCTAAGCTAAGCTTAGCTGAGCTAAGCTAAGCTAAGCTGGGTGAACCCAGGGGGCGCAACTGGGGGAACCGCGGGGCGGGGACTGGGGGAACCGCCCGGGGCGGCCTGCACTGCCCGGCCCCTTTAAGCAAACAAAGTAAGAACCCTCTAGGCAGAGCCTAGGTAGGGAATAACAAGGTTACCCGGATATTCCCATATCTTCTGGGTTTTCGTCTTCCCCCCCCCTTCCCATGTTTTCCCATATTTTCCTGGCAGCCGACGATGAACTGTCTGTGTGCTTTGTCCCCTCCTGAAGGAGGAGGGGGAGGAGGCAGAAGCCCCTCTTGGACCCCCTCCTCGCATCCCTTAAAACAGGGCTAGGATCGGGATAAATCGCTCCAGAGCGTTCCGGAGCGCTCTCAGAGCGTTCCGGAACGCTCTGGAGCGGCCGCGGCACCCAACACATCCTCCAAACCCGCCGATTCTCAGAGATTTCGAGTTATCCCGATCCGATTTTGTCCCGATCTTCGCGTCGTTTTATTCCTCCCGCCGCGCACGGGGCGGCCGCGGCGGGTCCTGCCCGTCGCGCGAGAAGGTCACCGGCCTGGCGCGGGCAGCCGAGCAGCAGGAGCAGGAGGAGGCACAGCAGGAGGAGGAGGAGGAGGAGGAGGAGGAGGAGGAAGGGGAGTAAGCCCATTTGGCCTCTGGCGATCTGGGCCTGCGACCCGATCGATCGGTCAGGGTCGATCGGCGCCTGCCGCCCGATCGATCCCGCCTCGCAGGCCGATCGCGAGGCCGGGCTCAGCGCGCCGCGGATCGGCGATTCGCCGCCGCCGCTGCCGCGCCCTGGCCCTTGGCGGCTGCTGCGCGCCTTCGGCGCGCCCAGGAGGGGCCCGACGCCCGAGCCCGCCTGGCACAGGCGGCAGAGGGAGCGCCGGGCGTCGGCGCGGGCCCTTCTGCGCGTCGTGAGGGCGGCCGACCTCCTCAGCAGCCACCACTCCGCGCAGCAGCACCAGTGCAACCAGCAGAACGAGCTGCAAGACTTCGAGACCAGCGAGATGGCGACCAACACGAAGTCTCACGGCCATCCAGTGGGGGCCAAGCCGTGGCCATGGAGGTCAAGCACACCAGCATCTGGATCCTCGTACCGCCGACACCATGGAGGGCATGGACAGCAGCAGCCACGGCACCAGCCCCAGCACAACCAGCACCACCACACCTCCCACCACGACGAGGATCAACAGCAGCACAACGACGCCCAGTACCAGCAACAGTATAAGTACGACTACACGACACCGAGAACGAAGCGGCACCCCTCGAGAAGACGCCACCAAGCCCCCGAAGACTCCACAAACGACCACCGACAGTTGCCAAAGCTGACGAAACGACAGTTGGAGGTCACAGAAAAGGTAATGCCCGCCTTGCTTTCGGATGCCAAGGGACACGAAAGCTTTTCTCTTCCTCCCGACGAGCCAGACATACGTAGGGTTTGGCACGCCACTAAGGTGGCGCGGATGGCACGTCTCGCCGACCAAGTCCACGGAGCCAGGCAAGCCCAAGTCGACCCGACCCGCTTGATCGAGGAGCTAGCCATAGTCAAGACCATGATACACATGCTGGACACGCCGACGGCTCGCATTTCACAATACAGATCCCAAGTGGAGTCACGGATCCAGAGACAGCAGACCGTCGAGAGCCAGCTCAAAGACCTCAATAAGGAGCACGACGAAATCAAGGGCGAGATTGCATCCCTCAGGGCACTCATCTCCGAGGCCAAGCAGTATCGAGAACACGCCGAACTTTACGAAGACAGTTGTGACGGGGACGGTGAAGATGATGGGAGACAACGTGTCAGGGGCAAGACACCACACCCCGAGAGACGACAGCGGACACCAATTCGACAACCGGTGCACGAGCCAGCGCCTGCTTCGACCACCAACGACAACAGCGACCTGCGGAAACTCATTGACGTGCTGACGAGGAGAGTGGATGAGCAGCAGCGCAACCACGGAATACATCAACATCATCTGGCGTTTCTCCACCATGAACGAGCCGAATCCGATCAACACGAAGCACAACGTCAACTGCAGACCGAGCAGATCCACGAGCTCTCGCAACATCTACAACATTGCCAGGAACAATTCCAGCAAGCACAACTCCAACAGAGACAGTCGTACTACGACGAGATCCAAGTCTTCCGACAGCGCGAAGAGCAGCTCCGACAAGAGGCTCGCGAATCCATCACGGAGAACGTCGCTCACTACCAGCAGAAGGAGGCCTACCTGCGCTACCAGCTCAAGGAGGAAGAGTCAGCGCACCTCGCCACCTTCATCATTCAGAGGAAGCAAGAGGAAGAGACCTTCAGACATCAGCTACACGAGAACGCCGAGATCATGGTCCAACAATATCAACAACGCTGCCACGAACAACAGCAACGTCTTCTTTCCGAGAAAGCCCAGGCACAGCAGGACATCAGCAACATCGCGAGGCTTGAACAGAACCAGCTTCAGGACGCCAAGGAACTACTTTTGGAGGAGTTCGGACAGTTTCAGGCTCAGAAGTACCGAACCTTGACAGCCCAGAGCGAGTACAACAGCGAGATCGACAGGCTTCGAGGCACTTCTCGCGACATGCAGCGCTTCGAGAACGAACTCCAGGAGCAGCACCAACACCAACTACAGGAGCATCTTCAGCAACACAGACAGGAACGCGAGCGACTGCACTGCGAACTACAGCAGGCCCACGAGTTCGGCACCAGCCTCGACGTGGACATCCTCAGGGAGCTCGACACACAACTTCAAGAACGAGACGAGGAAGACGCACGACTGCAAGCCCAAGCAGATGCTGAACAAGCACAAATCGACAAACAGGTACAAGCCGCACTCCACCTGCTGACCCCACCGTCTTCCTATGATGACTCGGGCTATCAACTATACCTCAGAAACCGCGGCAGCAGCAGCGGAGGACAGCCCAGCAACAGAGGACAGCGCAGCAGCACACCACCACCACGACCGACACCTGCGATGCCAACCGCCACTCCCACTGCGCGACGCCCATGCCACGACGCCGACGACGCCAGCGTGCACACCCCAATCCCAGCCGACGACGACGACCTGTGCAGCCCAACCCCTGTTGCAAGTGACGCATATCCCTTCCCTGTCCCTACGCCATTACCCACCCCCGCCTCGCTCACGCCGATCCCCACTGAGCAGCATACGCCCATCAACTTCCACCCACCTGACCCGCCAAATGACCGACCCAGCTCAGCGCCACCACCACGCACCAGAAGAACAGACTCAACTCAGCACAACCACCCATCCACTACTCTCCTCATTGACATCACTTCCGACGACGACGTACCACCACCTTCCACCCCAGTGCGCATTCCACTAGCCGACATATCTCCTACCGCACCGATGCAGCCAATCCAACCACCACCTCGCTTCCACCTCGCCACGCCCGACCGCGCCACATCCGCTCCTCCGCCCCGCACAGCTCTCCGAAAAAACGGATCATCTAGACGAGCGGCCAAGCCCAAGAAAGTCCGTATCTGCGACATCGGAGACGGCTTCGCAGATCCAGGAGACCGAGTGCCAACCTTCCTCAACGACGAGGAAGCCCCTGCGGTCAACTCACCAAAAAACTAACGAGGCCCTCACCCCCTGGGGGGCAACTGGCCCAGGGGGAGCGGCCCAGCATCATACCAGAAGACTGCCTGTGCAACGACGGCACTTCCGACTCCTGCAGTGGTTACGCCGACGACGTCAGGCGCCGACTATTCGAGCCCCTGGTGAGCTCCGATCCACCATACGACACTTCACAAGTTTCACCTACCCTCTCATCAGCCAATGGCGGCATGCGCGTTGGGGAGAGCGCACCTCCAGATTCTTACGAGCATGGCGATATGTGGGAAATCCACACACCGCCCAACATGCGACAGCCTAGTAGTGGACCGTGGACCATCCCCTCGGCCTCTACCTCTCGCTTGGGGAGTGCGAGAAGGCTGTCTCACACAGATCACACAGAAATGCCCCGCCAGATTTTGCTTCCCACAAACCCCGCACCAACTACGCTAGCGGACCGACCAACTACCGTCACCCGACCTCGACGGCAGCATGTCGACTCACATCCTCCACCAGCGGAAGCCCAGTCACGGTCGCTCCCGACGATGACGACGCCACCGCCTACGCCTCGAGAGGAAGCATCGCTTTGTGAGCACGACACGGGGGGGGACACCCCCAGTGGCTGCAGCCGTTTGGGGCAAGAACGACAAGAACCACCAACAAGGCATCGACGTACTAGCCATTTTGGCCATGATGGCGATCGAGACCGACAATTTTGTGATTCACCGAGCCGGCCATGTACATCAACTTCTTGCCGGCCACCACCTCCCATTTTTGACTCCCTTGACGCTACCCAGATCCCACGCGGACAAACAGACCTGCCGAATGCGGAGAGCCACGAGGAAGTACGGCATGTTCGTTTCTCCCGCGAGGTTCACACCCGCGACCAGCAGACCGACAATATCCTCTACCACATCGACTTCGACGAACAGGAGCCCTTACTCCAGCACCTTCGACGACTTCAGCCTCCCAGGCTTACCTTCGACTTTACCGACCGTTGCCACAACGAGGTTTCAGAGTACATGGTGCGAACATTTCCATACCGACAGCTCCCACGAGATTCTCGCCTGCATTTATACACAGACGGCTCCAAACATCCACGCCAACATGGTCAAGACGGATGGTCAGTCGTACTCGTCGGAGAAGACGAAGAAGGTTTCTCTTTTCAAGGCGCAATAGTCGGCAAGCACCGCGACTCCACCCTCATAGAGATCCAAAACCTCACGGACAACGAGACCACCTCGACATCCAGCGAGATCACAGCGCTCATCTGGGCGATAGCCTACATCATCCACAAGGACATCAACCACAGTATCTCGGTCCACTCCGACTCGCTGGGAGCGATCCAACTGGCCAGGATGGAGGCCTTCACTAATCGGGACGCCCACCTCGTGCAGCTACTGGTGATCATGTATTCGCACGTCAAGGAATATGTCGACCTGTGCCACGTTCACGCCCACGAGATGAACCCGTGGAACGAAGTTGCCGACGCCGCAGCCAACTACGCCCGCATCGAGGACTACCCGCACCCACAACCTGAATGGGCTAACATACTCAACGCGTCCCCTCAGCGCAGCTGGGAATTCCTACTCGATGCCGACAACCACACCAAAGACGCTTACCCATCCTTTTCACCTGGGATGCTCAAGGCCCAACGCATCGATACCACGGCAACGGCAGCCCACCTTACGACACCAGCCAAGTCCACGAAGACCTCGACCGAGATAGACGTCAACGTCGCCACCTACAACATCCAGTCAGGGCGCGAACCTGGCCAAGGCGCTCGAAGACGAAAAGAAAAGATGCACAAGCTCAGAAAGACTATGCTCAACCTGTACATGGAGGACCTCCACCTGATCGGCATCCAGGAAGCACGCACGCCCTGGGGAGTTCGCAGCGGCAACGACATCACCAGCACGAGTGCGTACGCCTACCACGTCATCTCAGGTGGCCACGACCAGTACAACCTCGGCTGCGAGCT